GACGGGTTTTTTAGGAGAAAAAACAAATTTGTTCTTAAACTTTCATGTCTGTTCCATTTGGGTCCTTCAACAACCTTCTTTCCACTTGAATTTTCCATCTATTCAGATTTTGGTGAAGTAATTCGCACCGTAATCTACAAGTAACGAACCATTAAATTGGCATATTGTGATAGGCATAAAACTTTGGCTCATCAAGACTTTTTTTTTTTTTTTGGTGCTAAAAGCTGGTCAATAAGACATGGGACTTGATTCATGCTTTGAAATGTATCTATTTGATATTTGGAAAAAAATGGTTTTACAAGTTCAAATTTGCGCCAAAATTTCTGCTGAAAGTGATCTCACGTGACTATTTAATGAATCATTAACTATAGATCATGATGGGGTTGATTTATCAAAATTTAAATAGGTGAAGAACTCAATTGAGACAATCTGTAGGTGGAGTACTCAATTGGAAAATACACAAAACTTTGTGGACATATTTGTCCGTTCCCTAATTAAGTTCTCATGTAAGAAAATTTTACAACAAGCCATCCTTCTTTTAAGAATAGAAAAAAATAAAATAAAATAAGGTATCATCTTTTAATATTCTTGCTTGTGTAAAATGTAAAGTTTAATATAATAAAATTAATAATATATTTTTGTCCAAATTATAATTGAAATTTCTAAATTGATCCTTTAAATAATATTTAAAATTATAAACTCAAACTAATAACTAATTATGTGACATTCCATAATTAAAATGATATTATTTTCTATATATATATATATATATTAAATGATGAGATGAATTTTTTGAAATTTAGGAAATTTTGTAGCATAGAGTCGTGATTACTTGAGACTTAAAAAAAGGGAGGAAGATGCTACGCCACAACATACATAAAGGATCTTGGACTTAATCCGTTCCTTCAAGGTATAAATCTGAAAAAAATTAAAAAAAAATGTATAAAAATATGATTTTTTTTTTTTTTTTTTTTTTCATGTGAAATGTCTAGAATCAATGAATCATGAGCACGCCAAGTAGAATCCTCCTTAATTGTGAACTAAAATTTGTATGGACTTCATACATTGAATTTCTTACAACTTTAAAGTTCACCAAATCTTGTTAAACAATGTTTATATATTGATATTGGCAAAAGAATTTAACAATATCTTTATATAAAAGCTTCTTTTTTTTTTTTTTTTTTTTTTTTTGGGAAAAAATGGTGGGCAAAATTCTCTATAAACCCTCCTCTCAAAGCTTGTAACCCAATCATGAGACTTCAGAAAAAAGTGAGATTGAGGTAGATAAAGGTAGTAAATTAATAGCGTAGAACACCTTCTGAAACCATCGAAGGGATATTAGATTAGATTAATTAATCACTTACAAAAGCAGCATCAACTTAAACATTCTCAGAATTATACCCTTATCAAAAGAACTGACCCATCATAGTGAACTATGTCGATAGAATGATCTCCATGCCGCAAAGTCATCACAAAGATTTTCTCTTTAGTCAGCCTAGAAAAAATTTTCATTGGATAACAAGGGCATCTATGTCTTCTGGCACTTTTCATGCCATTAACATGCATATTTTTCATCCAAAAAAATTTCTTTTACAATATTGCTTAGTGTTAGTGGATGCGGCGGCATGAAAACCCAAAAAGGTTAATGATGGTCTTGTCGAAACTGATTCAAAAAACTGTGCATAATGGGAGACATTTATATTGTGACAACATTGATGGAATAGTGGCGGTTGTCCAAAATTATTTGAAGGTGTGAACATATTCTTGGGATATTCCACGTGGGATCACCTTTTCGAAATGGGTTGAAAGAAACATTGAGAAGTTGGGCACATTGATCATTTGGATGGCATGTAACAAATGGGAAAATTATTTGCTAACATGTATATGATCTTCAAAACGGGTTAACAATCCGTATATTTTTTTAACTACAATAATTGATTGATTAGATTTTTTTGACTAATTTAAATGTTAATTGAATCTTTGCACTAAATTAATTTGTTAAAAATGAGTTGTTATTACTGATTTTATTGATGGTGTTAAATAAATTATATAATCAAACTACAAGTATTTTTTAACCTTGTTGACTCTATTAATTTTTTTTTCTTTTTATTTTTTTATTATAGAAAGTATTTATTAAAAATATTTAAAAAAAATACAGAAAACCAATAGGTTAAAATTGAAGGGATAAATTTATCTTTTAAAATAATTTTAATGAATAATTTTTATAAAAAAAATAATAATTAACGAGGCTTATGAGGTCAAAAAGATATGTCTCTTTATTATCTAATTTACTTAATACTATCAAAGAAATTAGTAACAGATGGCTCACATTAAACAAAATATTTTATTGCAAAATCTCAATTAATACTTAGATTGATATAAAAATTTGATTAATCAATTATTTGTAATACAAAAAAAATTGGTATTGTTAACCCTCTTCAAACCTATACGTGTAGATATAGGCGGATGTTTCAGGTATAATATCATAAAATATTAACATTGCCAAAAAAAAAAAAAAGAAATTTGGTTGGACTTAATTTTTTTAAAAAAAAATTGATTACTTTTTGCGACTAGAGAAAAAAATAATCTCCAATAAATAAATAGGATAAGTCGTCTACATTTTTATAAACAAAAGACGACATGTTTGGCAGTGGCACCATAACAAAAGTGGACGAAGATTGAAGACAAAAGCCTTTACACAAAATGGAAAATAGAAGACATGTCGTTTGTTCCTACTCCTATATAGGCTGGGCCAACTTCGAATGGGCCGAGAGGCAATCATCATATTGCAATTTGAGATTGAAAAATATGTTTGGAATTGTTTGCTTGACTCTATAAACTTGGCTATACTAGGCATTCTTTTATGGCAGTTGAAATTTATTTCATTTAAAATTAAATCTTTAAATTTAATTTTTTAAATATTTAATTTTTTAAAAAAATTTAGTCCATTTGTTTAGTTTTTTATTATTTATCTCAAAAAATTAACAATTGCACAAATAATTTTATAATAAAAATTATTCGAGTAAAATTTATATAGAGCTCATTAAAAAATTTGGAATCATTTCAAATTATTTTTTATTTTTATTGATTTTCTATATTTTTAATATTCAAAAAATAAACAAATATGCCTTTTAATTTTGAAAAATTATAAGATTATTTTGAGAATATGGATTAGATTTTTTTAATATATGTGCAAAACTTCAGCTCAAAATATCAAAAATTAAATTTCTTTTTAAAAGAAATAATGATAGCTGAAAATTATTAAATGGACTAAATCTCAAAAAATTAAAAATTTAAAGATTTTAAAAATTAAATTTAAAACTCAAAGACCCGATTTTAAATGAGTCAAAGGTTCCATTTAGCCTTGTTTGACATGTGTAACAGTTTTTTAACCATTTGAATCAAAACTAGCAATTTAATATTTTTTGTAAGAAGTCCAACAGTAAAATTAAAATATTCTACCACTCATCATTTTTTGACACTAAATTCTTGCTTTTCAGTTTGAATCCAAAGACTCTAAATAGTTACACATATACGACCATGGTTCCCCAAAACTAGAATTATACCAAGTCATGGGATTCACCTATGGCTAGATCAAATTCCAATCAATAATGCAAATCCTGGAAAGGCAAAGTAATATTGTCTATCCTTTACAGTGAAAAATATAAATGGGACTAATCAATGTTTTTGTTTCTTACATACCAAATTTCAGACATCAAGATTATGTTTCTTTTTTTGTCAGAACTTAATCATATTATCTATTTAGACTGGTGCATTGATGAGAAATTTCTTTCTACTAATGTAGAAAGCAAAGCCATTTATCATCTGAATCAAGGATTTGGAAGTTAGAATAACCAGTAATGAAACATAAAAAGTCTAGTCTAGGAATAGGAACAAACTCATTTAATTTCCCATCCAAGTTATAATTACCTGGGGCTAAAAAAAAAACAGGAACCTGCCAATTACCAAGCACACCAAAATTGGCCAATCAATCAGCACAAGAGTCATCTTTCATACCAGTTTTTCCGCAAAGTTTTTGTTCAATCCCTGATGGAAACAGAGAATAAGAACACAAAAAACAAATAACCCTGATGTAACAAAGCCACCTTCAAGCATTCCGCATTCATTTCCCCTAACTTTCCAAGATCTGAAAATAACTGAAAAGTGTAACGTCAATATTCTGACAGTAGGATTGTTTCAGATAACGTTAATTTCACTTTTTAACTATGATTCAGTCAGACCAACAAGAAACTTTGCTTCATTCTATCCAAGTGACTAAAAGACGCCAGCCAGCGTTAAAAGCAGCAAGCAAGAAATGACAGAACAAAAGCAAGCAGATCTTAGGTAGCCCCCCACATTTCTAATCTAGAATGTCAATAACCGGTTAGGTAACTCTCTACGAGCTGACCTTTCTTTCTGACAAGACAAGAATTAAAGGCTTGAAAGGAAAATAGGAAGTGGGGAGGCTATGCCCTAACATGGTTAAGGACATGGGTCTCATTTTTCCAGAACTGAGGAATGGGGTTTTCTGCTTTCTGATTACAAGACAGAACTGATTAAAAGAGATATTCTTACGTTTATGAAATGGGCTCACCAGTTCTGCACTAAAAGCTGGTTTCACATTTAGGAGGACAGCGACAAAATGAAAATGATTTTATTATTATTTTAGGTTTCTTAATTAAATAAAGATCAAGAGAGAACCCCATTTGTTTTCAGACTTTTATTTTTTAGCTTTCCACACTGTGAGTTAGTTATGATACCCTGTATTTTGGTTGTTAAAAAGGATAGCTTAGAAAATACATAGAGAGAATTAATCTGTGCTAAAGCTCACTCTAGCACACCATAAAAAGGGGTTTTGTGTAGTCCTCAAAATACAACTTCGTTTCACAAGTCTGTCTCTCCCTCTCCTTCTTTGGCAAATCCCAGCATAAAGACAGCAGAAAATTATTTTTCCAACGAGAACTGTTCAGCTTCATTCAACTCTGCTCTCGGCATCGGTAATGGATTCATACAAACACATTTTAGGTGCTGAAGGGTGTAGCAGCAGCGAATCTGGATGGACAATGTATCTTGGCTCTCCTATGCAAGAAGATGATGATGAATGCAGTTACGATGGTAATGACTACAATGCTCACAATGTGAGTAAAAATCATCGCTATGCTGCTGCTGCTGATGAAGACAGTGATGACTCCATGGCTTCTGATGCTTCCTCCGGTCCCCATCATCAAAACACCCATGAGAATGGTCATGGAACAGTACAGTTTAAGCACAGCAAGGGTGGTCTTTTCAACCTCCATTCTTCCTTGGCCACAAAACCAGAGAAAAAAGACAAGAAGAGTGATAAGAACAGTTCTAAAAAGGGCCAGAAACTTGATACTCACAGAAAACACTAGTTGTAGTTCTGTTAGCAGAGAGCAAGATTCAAAAAATTCGAAGCACAGAGACAGATGAAAACATGTAATTTTATCATAGATATTCAAAGAGTGGAAACGTACTCCAGATATTTTCTCAGATTCATTGTATTGATGAAATTAATTCTGAGACTGCACATTAAAGAGAAACAAAATATAGAAACTATTTCTCATCCAATCATTCTTATCAGCATACACAGCAAAGTGTATAAATCTGATTTACTAGCACTATTGACTGCAACAAGAAACGTTGATCATTGCATCGAAGTCCATCCATTTTTTTATCAAATTTAACTTCTTGATACTGCAGCCACAATGAGATGAATAGTTTATCCAGTATACCATATCACTATATCAGGGCATGTTCTGATATAGTATGATATTTTTTCTCCACAAACCTATAGATGAAATGTGGCTTGTCCATGTGCGCATGTTGAAATGAATTGAGAATTAACCAATAGCTTGTGCTCTTCTGGAAAGAAATAAGATCCTTTTTCTTTTCTCCCTATTGGAAGGAGGAAAGAAGAGAGAAGATCAGCACAGAAACAAAATGGTGAGTATTGAATATTCGTTTTGGTTGATTTTTGTTCAAGGATAAAACGATTCCAAATTAGTTCACAAGCAAACACTACTTTTTCAGCATAAACTTCTGGATATATTGCATTGTCTATTGTGTGTGTTATGTCTTTGTGCGTGCGTGCGATGAATGAACAGAGTATGTTGTGCTGGAAAGAAGAATGATCAACCTAGAAAGACAAATGCCAACCATGAGGAGCAACATGCACATTTCTAGTGACAGAATAATGGCTCCTTATATAACCAAATCTGCAAACAAGGGGTGCAAGTGCAACAGCTAGGAACCTACATGGTATGGGCTGTACATCAAAAGCAAAACAATATTACAAATGCACACTATAAAATCTAGTATCATTGATTAAATAATAGAACACGTATTCAGGAAGCCTCTATTCTTCAAATGAAAACAAAGAGCACAAAAATAAAGAATTAGCATAGTTTATGAAAAGACAGACAAGAACAAAAATGGTGAAAAGACTAAAGAGCTCAACTAACTTGTATCATTTGAATAAAGAGAAGACTCATCAAGTCCTCCGCTCCTCATCAGCAATAATACAAAGGGTTAAGATCAAATTTGCATCAAGGTTTATCCTGTAGTTTATGGCATTTAATCAGCTGTTGCATTAAAAAAGATCGATACTCAACAGCAAGTCAACACCATTGCCACTGTAGAAAATAAAAGCCAATGAAGTGAAATATTTGTCCTTCCTTGATCCTTCCCTCAAGTTCGGATCATGACTAAATGAAAAGTTGTGCATACTTCGAATTCTATCATTGAACTGTAGTTTTTATGCCAACAGAATCTTCTGAATTGTGGATAAAAATATTCTCGATAATTGCAATCACACCAACCTTCTTCACTATAAACTATGCAAGCATCAACCGATAATTGCACCATGTTTTGTAAAGCTAATTTTCATTTCTCCCTCCTTCGTTAGCCATCACTTTTCTTTTTCTGGGAAAAACCTTATGCAAGATATGTTTTCAAGAGAGTATTGTTATTTCGGGGAAAGTTAGCATGGGCTTAATTGGCTACATAACAATTGAATTCAAGTAATTAATGGTTACAGCACTGGATTTATACACTTTCTCTGCCTTCTAGGCAAAGCCTCAAATTTCATCCCCTCAAAATGCGTTTTCGCTGACTACTATATATACTTGCAGGTTGATGTGTCTTTCAAATAAAATACTTTCAGAATTCATGTCGTATTCAATAACTCAAATATTCACATAATCATACTATTTGGGTGAATGAAAATGTTTAAACTAATTAGAATTCCAGCTATTAAATGAATTAGACGACCTGCACAATCCTGGACTTTTTACCGTATCATCTGGTGTCTAGCTCTCCTCTGATCTTATACAAGCCAACCAAAATACAATCTAGGACCTCCTATAAATCCTAGGTACACCGAATTCAAATGTAAAGTAGAAACGTACGAACCAACAAACATTGGATTAAATAAATAGACGAAGAGTAGCAAAGCAAAAAATTAGCACCAACCGAGAAAATTATTGCTCAAAGATCCAATTTCAAACTACTCCTTAAAAGCACAATTAATTATCTCTTCAAACAAGAAACCGCTACAAGCTTTTTTTTAAATGAGGAGCCTGGTGGAGATAAAATACAAAAGCAGTAGAACTGCCAAGAAAAACCACAACATATAAAAGTAAGACAAAGTCTAAATAATCAATTGGATTTGATGAACCTGATTGAGATAAATTTCATGAAATAGGGGTGGCATAAGTTCTACCCAGTATAGAGTCCAGGGAAGAAGTTATTGTCTTATTGAAAGTCTCATTAAGCTTGATAGCATGAGAGAAAAGTTTAATTCTTCAACTGCCTTGCAATCTTGAACCATTCAGTATGGAAAGATCCTTCCACATCAACCCTTTCATATGTATGAGCACCAAAATAATCTCTTTGAGCTTGGACCAAATTAGCTGGCAATCTTTCCCTTCGGTAAGTGTCAAAATAAGCTAGACTGGAGGACATACCAGGAGTGCTAATACCGGAGTTGATTGCAACACACACAACCCTACGCCAGGCAGACTGACGCTCAATGATTTCCTTTGCAAACTCTGGATCCACTAAAAGGTTAGCAAGATCAGGATTCCTATCATATGCCTTCTTGATTCGGTCCAGAAACACAGCTCTAATAATACAACCACCCTTCCAAATCCTAGCCAGTTCTCCCAATTTCAAGTCCCATCCCTTCTCAATACTCTTTGCACGGATCAGATTCATCCCCTGTGCGTAACTACAAATCTTGGACGCATAAAGAGCTTGCCTTACATCATCAATCAACTGCTTCTTATCCACCACTTGATCAGTCAAAATATCCCCAAAGCCACCTGCTTTGAAGACTTTAGCAGCCTCAACTCGTTCCTCCTTCAAACCACTGAGGAACCTTGCATCCAAAGAAGATGCAATTGTAGGAGCTGCAATTGATAGATCAGCAGCTTGCTGCACTGTCCATTTACCTGTACCCTTCATGCCAGTTTTATCCAAAACCTTGTCAACCAAGTATCCTTCTCCCTTATCATCTTTAATCCCAAATATATCTGCAGTGATTTCAATTAAGAAGCTCAGAAGCTCACCCTTGTTCCATTCCCAAAAAACACTATGCAATTCCTCATTTGACAACTTTCCAACTGATTTTAGTACATCATAAGCTTCTGCGATCAACTGCATATCACCATACTCAATCCCATTATGGATCATCTTGACAAAATTACCAGAACCGCCTTTGCCGATGTAAGTCACACAAGGGCCACTATCAGGAACTTGAGCTGCCACTTTAAGGAGAATGTCTTCAATGTACTTGAAAGCCTCAAAGGAACCTCCTGGCATCAATGAAGGTCCATTACGTGCACCCTCCTCGCCACCTGAAACTCCCATTCCAAGGTAGAGCAAACCCAATTCAGCCATAGCCTTTTCTCTCCTCTCAGTGTTCTCATACCACTCGTTTCCCCCATCAATGATACAATCACCCTTCTCCAAGTAGGCAGAAAGAGTCTTTATGGTTTGGTCCACAGGTGAACCTGCCTTAACAAGCATAATTATTACTCGAGGCTTTTGGATTGACTTCACAAAAGATTCAGGATCATGAAAGCCATACAAGGGAAGACCTCCCTCTTTTTTAGCCCTCTTAACAGTCTCATCAACTTTGGAAGTAGACCGATTGTAAACAGAAATGGGGAAGCCTTTCTCTGCAATATTAAGGGCCAGATTCTGGCCCATGACAGCCAGACCGGCAAGGCCTATTCTTGTTGGTTCTTGGGTTGCAGCCATAATTACCCTGTCCAATATGATCTCTAATGAGATAAATTCCAAAAATTTGTGAAAAAATAAGTAATTCAAGACTTGTAATAAAAAATAAAAAATAAAAAGTTGGGAGTTGGGATTCTTAAATAAAGCCCAGCAAATATATTGCTTTCCCATTCCTTGACTATATTTTCAATTTTGGAACGTATCCAGAGGCCTAAAGTTTAAAGATCAACACAGAATGACAATAAGATCTTCAAATAAACTTAAATTCAACCTGGTACTCTAAGGCCATGATTAGCAACAAAGCAATAAATCTATCAGGCTGATTTTAAAGCAATCAAGTTACAAAAATGATAAGAAACAACCAAGCAGTTCAACAATAATTTGATCAAGAAGTTACCAAGCTCATCAACAAGAGAAAGGAACAAAAACTTGACCTTTCAATCTGTACTATGATCAGAACAAAAAAAAGATTCACTTGCAAGATCATGTAGAGACATGGAAATCCCAGATAACCAATTCCTTAATAAATCCCAGAAACATTAAAAAACAAAAACAAAATTTGGAGTCTAATATGAGTTGTTATCAACTAAATCCTGACAATACCACAATCCTTATGATTTGTCTTTTCCATTCAGATCTCTAGACCAAACAAATAGAAGAAAAGAATATACTAAAAAGAAATCCCATCCTTATAAAACAAAAAGAAGAACTACTCACCTTGGAAATGGATTCTGGAGAAATTAAAGAAAACCCAGGAAAATCAAAGATCTGCGAACTGAAGAGACAATAGAGACTAGTGGTTAGTTGACAACAATAATGTTAAAGAAGAAGGGAAGACAGAAAGGGACATTACATAATGGTAGTTGCTTACGGTGTACAAATAGTGAGGAACTAGTTGGGAGGAAATGGAAGACTTGATGATGATCTCTTCATCTCTTTAGCTTTTCATTGGTCTGAATTTATAAGCGGGTCAAATTTGGCCACCTATAGTATTCTAATTGGTTGGTAGGTAAGAAATGGTAGTTGGTCTAAATGTGACCATTTCCTTCGCTACTCTTTTCCATACCACAGCACACCACGATTCCATGGATCCAATTTTTAGATTAGATTCGGGGAATGATGGGCTACCTTCATTGACAATGGTGATTTTTTTAAGGGTCATGCTTGGTTGGTCAGCCAGGGATAAAATAACTAGTCTTTTATTTACTTATTGACAGAAAGGTTTTTTTTTTTTTTTTTTCCCTTTTTGATGTCTAATAGTTGATTTCTCATTATTTATTATCCAAACTTTTATTTGCTTTGATGTTTAGAGTTTACCTTAGATCTAATTTTATCGACATATCCGACGAGATCCGCTATATGGCAGCTAAAAAATATCATGTGATAGTCAACTCGTCACATTAACACATCATACTCTTACGTAGTTATGAGTACTCAAATAGAAAAAAAAAATCAAAGGTTAAGCATTGAGATAGAAAAAAAAATTAAAGATTGGGCACCTAAATAGAAAAACAATATCAATAGTTGGACACCAAAAATATAATTTTCTCAAAAAATTTATTTTAGTTTTCTCACACTAAATGTTTATCCCCTTCTTGTACTTTAATATATCATTTCTTTATTATAAATAGATTTCATGCATTTCTTGTGCTTATATATATATATATATCAAAACTTTCTTTTTGGTATTGAAAGTCATATAATTTTAAATTCTAAAAAAATCAACAACTATATATATGCATATTTTCCTGTTATTATGCTAATTGCACAAGTAATTTTAACAATGTATTTATTTTTTAGCTTAATTCACAATTTACTTATTATTTTTATCATTATCCTTATTGCTACAAAAATTTTATACTTTAAACGCTCAAATCAAAAGGCTTGATTACTAAACTCATTTATTTCGATTCTATTCTATCTCGACTTACTATAAGAAGTTTAGTAAGTTATTGGCTATAGTAAGTTATGCCACTCATGACATGTTCGTCAATTTTTCTCCCTAGATAGAGCAAGCAATTTTTATTTTATGTAACTTTCTTCATTGACCAATCACTTATTCCGCAAATGACAATCATAATTGAATCTTATATGTCTTTTATTTTTTAAAATTTAATCTTAATTAAACCATATATATATTTGGATTAAATAATATAATTTAAATTTTTTCTAGATATGTAAAAAAGTTTAGAAAAAGTAATTTTTAACTAATATAAAGTACTAAAAATTATTATTGATATATATATATATCACAAGCATGATATGAAAAATATTTATTAGAAATTATTGAATTAATTTTGCAATCTCGAAATAATAAATTTCTTTTAAAAACCGCACTTTTGGTATCCAATCTTAATTTTTTTCAATGCCTAACCTTTGATTTTTATTTATTTTATTTATTTATCCATAACTACTTGAGATAATAAATTTCTATCACATGGTAGATCCGACCGGACACGTTAACAAAATTGGACTTCAAGTAAATTCAAGTACTAAAATAAACAAAAAAATCAAAGCATGGGTAACAAATCATGAGAAATCAACAATTAGATATCAAATCAGAGAAAAAAATCAAATGTTGGATACCAAAAGCCTTTTTCTCTGTAAATTACATGGTTTTCAAGCATAGTGCGTGCATGGATGAAGTTACTTGATAGATATTCAATTGCATGATTCCTTATGGCCTTTTGACCTGATGTTACTACAATTTTCTTAGACATGGTTTTGACCTCTTGCATATCTATATCCATATTTGATACCAAAATTGAGAAAACTTTCTAATTGTACCCTTAGACGTAGTTCTATCTTCGTAAAAAAGAAGTTATATAGAAACGATTTACATTAACAAAATTATTTGAATGAATTTTTAACTTCAATATTCTTCAAATAGTTAATCCATAAATATATTAAATTAAAATCAGAGAAATTGTTTTAAATTATTTTATCAACATATTAATATATTTGATGACTTACGGATGTTTTATGAATAGTCTCAATCCTATCCTTATTCTTAAAAAAATTAAGCTTACGTAAGAAAACTTAATTTTGTCAATGGTCATGCATGCAATTAAGAAATTCACAATATCGAAACAAAACATTTTATTCTTTTCCAATCATCATTACTATTAAGGAAAAAAGAAAAGAACATATGTTTAGCATTTTTATGTTTCATGAGTTTGAATGAATAATAAATAAATAGAAAATAGTTTGTCTTATTTATTTATTTATTTATTTTGGTTAATCATGCTCAATATTGATATCGTTTAATCTTTTTATTGCATCATCTCATGTTGTTGATTTAATTAAAATCACTGTGTGCTAACAAAATTTTAATTTGAAGTAGGATTAATTGAGAGAAAAAAATTTTCATGATTGCTAAAACTTATTGTCCTTTCATAATATGTTTATGTTCTAATGAAAATACAAACTATGCTTAATATTAATGCCTTAAAACCGTAAAATATTGATGAAAATATTTGCCCAAAAAGGCGTCGTCCCCCAGCAATCGCGCAGCCATCCAAGCTAAAAGAATCTGTAATCCCCACTCATATCAAAAATTTAAACCGCCTTTTATTGGTAGCCATTCACTTTCTGTGCTTGTAAATCATGAAGTAGTTATTAAGGCCTGACTCCATTAATGCTGTTGTAGCTTGCTCATTGGAATTCTAAGAAAGAAGAAGACAAATGAGGGTACAAATGGACACATGAACTAAGAGATTATGCCAGCCATGAACATGTTCTTTTTTGCAATAGGTACTTTGGAATCTTATTTGCAAAATCAGGGTTGTTTTAATTTTATTTGTCAAAAGAGAATATTTTTTTACATGTAGATCAAATTACCTACAAATGTCAATTTTTTTTTTTTTTGGTGCTAAATTGATTAATAATTTTACAAAACTCTCATGAAAAAGATGTATTTTTTGTTTATGGATAGTTTTTCTTAGAGTTTATAAATTTATTGTAAGATTATTAGTGAATTTAGCACTAAAAAAACTAATATTTGTAGGTGATTTGATCTACATAACAAAAAGTATCTTATTTTGACAAATAAAATTAAAACAACCCTGTTTTTATAAATAAGATTTAAAAATACCTAGTTTTTTTATAAAAAAAAAAAAAAACTCATCCTTGCACTTCTTGCTACATGTATTGTCAAATCAACCCAAGTCCATATTACAAAAAACACCAAAAGATGTGGGGGGTTTTTTCCATTTATAAATGTTTATTTACACCGAAATCTTACTGTGTTGCACTTCTCTATACATTTCGGTCGTTCCTTCTCTATTTTGTTTCATCTCCTTCGTTGGTTTTCTAGTGATGTTGTAAAAGTCTATTTTTCTTTTTCTCTTGCACTGTCTTTTTCTCAATTGTCAATTCAACATTCTTATATTATTTGCTTAATTGTTGTTGTGCCACTTGGTGATGGTGTCAAGTTACGTTCTTACCTTTGCTTTTTTCTTTTTTCTTTTCTTTTTTGACCTTTTTTGTAACTTGCTCGTTACTTAGACAGAGCAATTAATGCTCAACAATGATGCTTATGTTGCACCATTTTTCCCCTTTGAGTATGCATATCTTGAGTTTAGTTATTTTTACTTTTTTTTGTTTTGGTTGTTACATTATAACTACGTTTTTATTTGTTTTCTTAAATTTCAAAATGTTGAAAATAAATAAAATAGATGAGAAAGAGTTTCTATATTTATGTTTTGTTACGTTATAGCACATAACACTCACTACTTGTAAAGGTTTTACAAGATTGATTGTTATAAGAATAAATAGATATACACAAGAAAAGATAGAGTTTATCTTTAGCCTAATATAGTAAAGGCGAGAACTGAATGGAATTACTATTGTAGACCATGATCGGCTTGGATAGGATTTATAGAAAGTGGATTCCTTATAGGTGTAGATTGTTGTTATTGACCATGGCTAGCTTGGATAAAATTGTAGGAAGTAAACTCATTGTAGGTGAAGAGGTCCGTCTTAATACTCCTTCACAAACTAAATGTGGTCCGTCACCTACT